ATATAAAAATATAATTATATAAAATAGCAGTTTTCTTATGTTAAGGGGAAGATTTGCTTATAAAATTTGATTCATTTTTTTCAAATTGTTTATTTTCACGGAGAAAATGAAAAAAGAAAATTTACTCAAATATTAAAGCAATATTTACAATTTATCCCACTATCCCGTTGCTTCGTAAGCGAAAATAATAAAAATTACACAATTTTGACCGGAATTTGTAAAAATAAAATCCCAGCAGAAATAAATTTACTAGGTATTTTAGTGTATATTACAAATTTAATTGTAATAATCAACAAACTTGAAATAATTTTAAAAAAACATCAAAATTGAGATTATTGTAAGTTACCTAACAAATTCTACTATTTCTATGGCAAATTCAGTCATTTATAATCGAAAATTGTAATTTTTGCGTTGTTCTAAAAATTTAGTTTTCTCCGTGTTGGTACGATGTCATGTCTTCGGGGAGCCTCAGGTACATACTGAAATTAGCTACCTAGATCATGTATTATTTGCGACTAACGCAGTTGATAATGTTTGAATGCGTTGGAGAAATGCATGAAATGTTATTACTGCACCTAATTACTAATAAGTTGCGATTAGACACATCAAATGGGTATTTTATCCACTTTAGCCTTGTCAAATAACTCCTAAAAGTTGTTCATATGTAAGGTCAAGAGATGGATTAGTTATTATAAAACCACGTTAAAAATTGCCATGACATTCAGACACGTAGTCCTTCTTGAGGCCATATATATTTGTCGCTCTAATTTATAGTTACAATAATTTTTAACCGTAATACGTAAAAAACACTTAAAAAAATTTAATTTTAGACAAAATCATAGTATTGTCTTGATAAGAAAAATATTACTCACAACGCGAAAACAGCAAAAGCTGGAGTTCGAACCCTAAAAAAAAGCATTCGGTCTAATATATTTTTACTTTTATGGAAGCGGCTTGCAAATATTTGTTCCAATTTTTAGGTGTTATCTGCTACCAGCATAAACAATTCTCCGCAACATTAGAAAGATTAAGCCGGGAATATTTCCCATTAATTGTTAAGGGTTAAGGGTTACAGGGTAACCTTAAATGTTTACATCAAAATGAGCCATCTAAATAAAATGCAAAAATGATTAATCGGTGTTTTTTTATTCTTACGTAATATAATAATAGTCTTAATGATATTTTGTTTTTATCCTCTTTTATCCTTTAAATGTCCTTTGGGCCACTGAGTTTATTGATTAAATTAGTAATTATAGTATCTTTTGGGTAATTATTTTTTAATTATTTTTCAGGTGACAGAAATTTTGGACATGTTGAGACTCACTTCGTCCAAAGATACGCCAACAGAACGACTTTCCGGAGGAGAAAGAAAACGATTAGCGATAGCTTTGGAACTTGTAAACAACCCGCCTGTAATTTTTCTAGATGAACCTACGACGTGAGTTAATTAATATATATTTATCATTTATACTAAACAAATTTTGGTCCTATCTTTCCAAATACGCTGTAAATTGTTTTAACACGCGCCTACCGAATGTCGTTTTAAAAAATAAATAACATTTACCAACTTTCTTTCAAAATGATAACCCTGGTGATGCCCCTGTGAAAGATAATTTTTAAGTTTATTTTAATATTTTAGTTTAAAAACAATTTTGATAACATTCCAAAAAATCGTCTGGTCTTTGTATTTGCATATCCAATCGCGTTTCCATACCACCAACGATGATTATATACACATTATTCTTTAGATCACGTTCAAAATAAACAATGAATTACAAAGTACCGTCTGCTTGTAGTTGCAGGTACATATAGTCTTGCTTAAAAACCGATCATGAGTAGCTACCCATTCTATTTCATTTGTTATTCATTATGCATCTGAATAAAATTAATTTTTAGTTGTTGTTATTCTATGTATTTTATAATATTTTTAAACACCACGTTTCAGTTCTATAATAACAAATCTTTTGTATTATGATTTAGATACAGATACTAAAAATAATAATAATAGTTTCAATTTGATAATTGTCTTTAAAATCAATTCAGTATTCAGAATTTTTTTCACTGTAGAATCATTAGTGAAAAAATATGTAAAAATTTTACTATGTACTGCATAAACTAGATAATAAATCGATGCAATATATAATAAATACCAAACGAAAGAAATTCGGTTTATTCTTATAGGACATTATGTATTTTCATTTCAGAAAATTTTTACTGTTACGTTAGATTACGATTAATTAATAAATAATCGTTACCCATAATTATAGGAGATTCCAGAACTAACACTATAAAAATAAAGCATATGTGTATGTGAATGTCAAGAAACTAGAGAAAAGTCGATTGAAAAATTATTTCGTTTATTATTGAAAAACTTATTGGTGAACTGAAAAGGAAGAATGATTAATAAAATTTGATTTTTTACGGTCACGAAAGGTGAATAACTTATTAATATTTCCGTAAACTCTGTTACACAACACAACATTTAGTTAAACAACCTCCTCCAGATTTTTATTAACGATTTTACTATTTTCAGTGACTAGCTATTAATAATCATTATTGGAAAATCCAATCGCCATCATCGCTTTCTCTGAACATTTTAACATTTTCCGATTCAAGTCCATAAATTTTGATCACAAATTCACAGTACTATGTAGGTATATCAATCAGATTTAATATAATAAAAAATTTTTGTTGTTGTGTAGAAGTTTTGTAAGAATATTTCAATAGTAAAACCACTATTGTCTTTCAACCTTCGCAGGTGTACAATAAGTATTATTTTTTGTATTTTCCGAATACAATTATCTTGCAATAAACAATGTTTAATTGTGTAATTAAACCGTTAGTTTTGAATTGCAATAAAAGAAGTTTTTGTTATTTAGAATTAAACGAAGTTGGCCATTACGGATAGTTTCACTTAAAATTTATTAATAACTGGTAACAAGTTTCAGTCACACGACCGTTATCAAATTATAGACAAAATCTTATACTAGTATAAGGAATAACAATAATAATTTATAATTTATAAACTACCCATTAAGCATTATTTGTGGTATTTATCTCAAACTGTGATCAATTTTGGATACATTTATGTACAAGATCAAATTTATCTTGCATTAATTTCCTGAAAAAATGGAATTTGCCGCCAAAAATTATAGTGGTCGAATGCCAACAAATATTTGTGATACAAAAGACGCCGTTTTCTTTTTTTATGAGATTTATATTTACGTTGACGGTGACTTTATAAAAAGTATAGATGTAAAAACAGAACTTGTTTACCTTTAATTGAAGAATTATTTATCAACGTAATTATGTAGGGGAACAGGAAGTAACCCATCACCTTTTCCATCATATGTAAACACATGCGTAAGCATAAAAAAAATTAAATTTTCCGAACCAAAATCTTTTCGAGCAAGAAACTCTCCTATGTCAGGAAATAATGGAAAATTTTAGGTCCATTAACATATTATGAGTAGTTACTTAATGCTAATTGTATCATTCACGGATTACATACTACCACTTTTTGTACATACGGATAGTAGCTTATATAGTTGTATATTTTTTTCTGTATTTCTAACATAAAACAAGGCTTACCTTCAGCCTTGCAACCGCTTTGTTTAATCCGTGAAGAATTTAATTCCCCCTTATGTAAGAATGACCTTTAATAAGTGATACAAAAAGTTACACTCTTGATTTTATTTGTTTACTTACTATTATGCTATGCCAACCAGAGACCGATTTCGAAATGAGTACCTACCGAGCAGAATTTTAAAATATCTGTCAGTATGAGGAGCAGCACAAGAAAGAGCGTCCGTCAGGTTTTCGAAACTTTACAATTATTTTAAATTGCCCAATGTAGAAAACATGATCACGACATATGAGAATGTACGTACTCTACAAGTATTGCAGTTTTATGTATCGTAAATAAAAAAAATCGTGAAATCGGCATTTCTATTCCGAGTTAATTACTAAATATTAATAGTTTCTCTTACAAAAGATAACTTTCAACGTCATACAACATCTAATTTCAAAATGAGGCACATGGCAAAACTAATCACAAACGATACCTTTTATCCAGAAAAAAATACCCGAAGGATAGAAAAATTAGTTTGATGTGGTCATCTATGATCTATAACATACCATACCACATCCTTAACTGTTTGTGAACAGTAATCTAATCTAATCTAGGTCTACATTTCCTCCTCTTAGCTTCTGTTTCTGCTTCTAATATTCTCCAACCAGCCCTTAACTTTACAAAAAAAAAAAAAAATATTTTGCCTACTAATTTCATAATTATTGTTCTTTCTTTATACAGTATTTATGATTAATTTCAAGAGGTGCAGTACGTATTAGTATAGAAAAGTACATAATTTTACCAATTATCAAGTTAGTAAATTAACTGTTACCCAATCAAATTGTCAATAACAATAAAGACAGTGGGAAAATACATTGCTTCTATAATTATCAAAAGGTTATGGCAACGTATATGTATAAAGTAATTAATTAACGCAATGTTTTTAACGAAGCAAATTAAGAATTACAGAAAAATTCCATTAAAAGTAGCAAAATAAATATGTAATAAGTAATCTTACACTAATGTAAAGTTTGTTTAATTTGGTTGAATTTAAAAAAATACGTCTTATCGCAAAAAAATACAATGTAATTTAATGCATGTAAGATGATTAATATTGGCCGCCGTATTTGATAATTAGTAAATTTTATTTAAAACGGATATAAAACGTGTCATTCCTTCCAAATTTAATAAAAATATTTTTCAATAATATACGTATTATGGTAGATTTATTTTGATAGAAACTCCTAAATAATGAAGAGTAATCTGATTTTACTTGACAGTAAACAACGGTCATGAAAGTCTACAGTTAATTATAAATAAATTGAAAATATTTTTGGAATATCTAGGTAATTTTCGAATTGTGACTTGACATCTCTGCTCTTGTAAAAAATGTACACGTAGAATAAATACATATTTTTAAAGCTCCAGCTTGATCCGTAAGGAGATTAGAACTGACGATTGAAACCTCAAAATCAATAATTTCGTACCTTACTAATAAATTATGCATTATTAGTGAAGAATATTCTAACCGATAATATTGAGGAACAAATATACAGTTAGGAAATTATATGTATACTAATATACAAAAAAAATGGTATATACGAGCAAAGCCGTGTAGACAAAAGTACAGTATTTAATATTTGTAAGAACTGTTAACACAATAATGTCCATTGTCCATATTTATAGTGGGTTACTAGGTTAAATGATATAAAAACATACAAGTATGTATAGTGAACGACTTTCATTAGTTATGTAATACTATATTATTCGTATAGTAAATAAACCTTGAACCTTTGAATGGTCGCTGGCGTCCGGCTATTGAACTCCGCGAAGAATCGCTAAAGAAACTGTTAATGAGTAAATACTCATCATATGAAACTTGAAATGATAGAGGCAAAATAAATGAAATATATTACCAAAAGTTCAGGATGCCCTAAAAAGAATTCTGTAGAAGTTGACTTCATCAGTAGCCAATAAATTCGCAAAATTGAAAAACGAAAATTCTACAAGAAATGTCGCGAAATATAAAAACAAAAAGTCGAAATAAATTACCATTCGGTAAAAAAATCCCCGAAATCAAAATATGTTTTAACTTTGAAATCGACATAGTTGAGACTCATCAGAAAGAAGGACTCATGAGTAAAGCGCATCAGACGATAATTTTGAAACATTTAGTTAATAAGTAAAAAATGTATTGTTTACGTGATGTTAAGTTAAGTCCTTAAATGTTTCCTTTTGTCCCCTGAAGGGAGATTTCACTATATATTTCGACTATAATTTAAAAAATTAATGGAAAACCATAGCGGATTTCAAAAATTATCAATTTTCTGGTTAAATGGACGAAAACATATTTTTCTTAATGTAAAAATTTTCAGTATGTTTAGAATATAACTGCATATTATAAGGTGTGTATGGTCTAAATGAACATTGGCACTAACCTGCCTATTTCTACTCAGAGAAACCGAATAAGCCTTTCTCTTCCTGAGATATTCTATGAAAATAAGAAAAAAACATTTTATAGGCAATGGCATGTTGTTTTAAAGCATGTGGATTGAAAAGTGAAATGTTGGATTTCACTAAACTCGTTCTTACTCTCATAAATGTTAATTGAAAATCGAAAAGGTGAAAGACGTCACAATTAATACCTATTTTATTATCTAGAAAGATATGTATAGATGTACATCTTTTCTAAAACGATCGAAAAATATGCACAAAAGAATCACAAAAACTGCAGGTGGCAATTATTTAATTCTTGAAAGAAATTTTTCGAAAATCGATCTGTTTTTCTGTAATAATTTAGCAGCTTTATCAGTTTCAAAAATTAAGAACTAACAACAAAAAATACGAAACAAAAAATTCGGAATATAACAATATTTGAGTAAAAAACTCGTTTTTTTTTTTTAATTTAGCACTGGGTAAAGACATCAACAGAATTATTCACTATTAATTTTCTTTAATATTCTAGATATATTTTCACAATTCTGTTTGGAGAAGAAAATTAACTGAGACTTGGGTATCATTAATTAGATATCTCTAAAAAGAAGTAACCCTTTTAAAGAATACAGAATACCCTTTAGGCACATCACAACATATATATAGAAACAAGTGGGTCTAGAGTCGCATCCTTGGTGCGGTCCTCGAGGTTCACACGAATAACTTCCCAATTAGTAACTTTTTTTTTAATCTATCAGAACCAATTAGATCAGATAAATCTTTGTTAAAAAGTTTCAGAATTTACTAATTTTCAATCTACTTGTTTGAACAAAAAAATGACTCGACCGAATGTTACGTAACTCTTTTCGTTCTTGCAATTAATTAAGTGGCCTTAACCTTTTTTTTTACTAAATCAAAACAATTTTTTTTAGTAATATTATTTATTACCAGCCATGTATAGTATACGCATTAATTTATGTTTAAAAAATATATCATGTTGATTCATATGTGAGAAACAAGGACTTTGATAATTTTAATTGCATAATTGACTCAGTTAATTGAATAATTAGATAATCGGGTACAAAAATTCAACAGTGATCATGTAAAATTAATTTAATAGTTGACTGCATTCCTAATTGTCGGTAAAAACTGCACATCATCCGTTCTCGGAACTAAAATAATTACTAGATATCAACAGGTGTTGTACATTTCTTGTGCTAAATTATCTGATTATGAATCAGAGAATGCAATTGCATTATTTATGCGATTAAGACGTATTATTTAAAAAGTCATAAACAATCTATTAATACGATGATAATTTTAACTACAGGTATCAAAAGCTGTTTTTAATTCCTAATAATTTGTAGTTATGGATGATTTAAATTATCCACACATCATTAAATTATTACGCTGAATAATGTAAAGAGTCCTTTATACTATACAAAAAGATGCTATCATACATTAAACTATAAATTATAAACGGTACTTACGTTTAGAAACGTTTAAAAGCAAATTAAAAGAAATATGTACTTACGTTTACCTATGCAATATTGTTATAATAAGTTTTTTTACGTATTAATGACAAAAATTGAAAAGTACTTAGTATGACGTAAATAAGACCATTTTTAACTGATAAAAACAAAAATGTAATGCATTATTAACAACTTCTTATCCCAAAAAATAATAAACATTAATTAACAAAAAGGTTTCCGAATAAATAAAATGCTTTATTAAAACATTGTAAACGAATTGAAATCGATCACGTAGTGACCAGTTCTAATTATAATTAATTGACCATGTGATTATTCCGACCTTCTAATACAGAAGTCCTTGTTTATAAATTGAATAGAAATAAAATTGCAGAAATCCTGAGAAAATAACGTTCGAGCGAAAATATAATATCGACTTAATAATGAATAAAATATATTAGTTATAAGTATATAATATCGGTAAATGTCTAGATGATGGGCCCCACCCCCTTCGAGGGTGGAGGTGGGATCGAAAGAGGAGATCTCCCCCACCATTGTACCATAAAAAGTTCGTGGCGGTCTCACCCCCATAAAAAGTTATGGGGGTTGAAAGTTGATTATTTTGACAATTTTCATACACTATAATTCAAATAAAATTCAATAAAAAAATTATTTTCAAGCGGGTGGAGGTAGGGGATCGAAAGAGGGTGGTCACTTGAACAAAACCCGATAACATAACCTAACCTAACCTACCCTATTGATAAAGATATTTAAATAATGTTTTATATAACTTTCTCAATATTTTTATGTATTTTTCATTAGTTTTACCTTTGAAAATTGTTTAATAATGACTACATAAATATTTACATGTCCGGAAATGTATAAAAATTGGCATATTTATTAACTTTGAACCCCCATAACTTTTTATGGGGATGAGACCGCCACGAACTTTTTATGGTACATTGGTGGGGAAAGGCTTTCTCTTTCGATCCCCCCATCCCAACCCCCGAAGGGGGTGGGGTACATCATCTAGACCTTTACCATAATATCTAAAATACACAGTTTTTTAATTAAAATTGTTAATATTTCTTTTTCTTCACCAAATTGTATTTTTTTCTAGGGGTTTGGATGATCTTTCCAGTTCACAATGTATAACATTATTGAAATATTTAGCAGAGGGAGGAAGAACTGTGATATGTTCCCTTCACACACCGAGTGCCCGACTTTTTGCCATGTTTGATCACGTGTATATAGTTTCAGATGGATTATGTGCCTATCAAGGTACAGGAACAAATATCCTTCCTTTCTTGGATAATATAGGCTTATCTTGCCCCACGCATTATAATCCAGCAGACTTTAGTAAGTTATTTCATCATTTTAGTTGATAATTTTTATATTATTTATTAAGTGGTCACCTGTACCTATATGTAGATGTTAGGCTCTGATGCCGAAATAAATTAGGAGATCGCTACCTGTTCAGGATAAAATCGGCAGATGGCAAATACGAAGATTAGGCGATTATTTCGGCATTGATTCATAAATAATTGAGCAAATTGTCAAAATCAACTTTTTATGGGGGTGAGATCGCCACGAACTTTTTATGGTATAGTGGTGGGGGAGACCTTCTCTTTCGATCCCACCCACCCCCAAAGGGTGGGGCCGTCATCTAGACATTTACCGAAATCGTTTCTTTTCAGACGTCTTGATAATTCGACATCTACAATAACCACCTACAAAACATTTTGCACTGAACAGATCTCTTATCTGCCAATTTATTTCAGCATCCATGCAAATTTGGCATCTAGACCTAACATAAGTAATATAAGACAATTTGCTAATGATCAACTCATTTCAATTTCACTGTTTTCGTCTGACATATTTAAAATAAACAAAATCGATACGTAAAAAGATAGTAATTATTTTCGTGATTCATCTGTTCGGGATAACATTTATATGACTAATACTGTTCGTCATTCTTCTTTGTTTGGAAATCAAAAAAAAAGTGGAAATCAAATACAGATCAGTATTTCAACATACTAGTTCAAGGACAGCGAAATAATTAGAGAAACATAAAAAACTTATTATTCAATACACTTTTTACGTGTAATACAAAAGCCTGCTGCTTTCCTGATATTTTAATGACGAATACTTTTGCAATGTTTGCTTCAGCAGATATTTATTATAATATTATATATGTGTATGTTTAGATCAAACATTGGAAAAAATATGAAATAGTTTTTCCAAAATACTCATTGAAATAATGAAAATCGACCTGTTTATATGCATTATTAAATTATTTCATAAATCATTCATATTATGTTTATTTTAGTTATTGAAGTATGCAGTGGAGAATACGGAAATTTCTCCGATAAAATGATAAATCTCATTGAAAATGGAAGGTCGGTCAGTTATTGCAAGACTACTACGTGTGACGAACTNTTGGAAAAAATATGAAATAGTTTTTCCAAAATACTCATTGAAATAATGAAAATCGACCTGTTTATATGCATTATTAAATTATTTCATAAATCATTCATATTATGTTTATTTTAGTTATTGAAGTATGCAGTGGAGAATACGGAAATTTCTCCGATAAAATGATAAATCTCATTGAAAATGGAAGGTCGGTCAGTTATTGCAAGACTACTACGTGTGACGAACTTCCTGAATATGAAAATGAAGAAATAGGAAACAGTAATTGCATATATGCACCGACTACAAAACCAAAAAGGCAACACGAATGCTCACCTTGGTTGCAATTTAAAATCCTGCTCTACAGGTTTTGGATTCAAACTTGGAGAGACTCGGTAGGTGGAAGCAAATATTCCAAACGAATTACCTACAGTACTTATTATATAAAGACCAATTTCTACCCATTATTATACTAAACATCTTTAATTACTAATTGTAATTTAGTAAATTAATTTCGTGTTAATTTTATGTTTTAGGACATGCTCATCCTGAAAACAGTATTATACATAGTCATAGGACTTTTAGTAGGAAATTTTTATTTTTCGGTTTATTCTTATAGGACATTATGTATTTTCATTTCAGAAAATTTTTACTGTTACGTTAGATTACGATTAATTAATAAATAATGTAATAACCAATCAATTATCAACAAACCGAAATACTTTTTATAACTTAAGGTAATAAACGTTGAATATACATTGTAAAGTGCTTTTAATTTCAGTTTAAATCAATTAAATGATAATTAGATACTGTTTAACAGCAACAACAGGCAGTGATAATTGCAAATTAAAATAAAATTGCACTTTTGATAGTTATGTACTTACCCTTTGGATGAAGGTCATGTGCAGATTAGAAGTTGACCTGAAAGAAAAATATACATATAAATCGCTAATATGAAAACTGCAACATTATTACATTTTATAATTGGCTAATTACCTACATGAAGAAAATAAAATGACTATAGATTTCATGGGAAACCTCTATAATCGCTGTAATTAATAATTTCTACAATAAGAGCTTGATTTTTCTTGAAAAACTCGTTTTTTATTGTACCTCAGATATGTAGGTACAATATTATAAAATATTGGCACTTACCATTTTACGTACAAATAGTGTATCCATGTATAATTCTAATGAAGATTTAACATGTTATAATACAATTACCTTAAAACATCATTATTGTCCTTTACATTTATTAGGTAAATTTATTTATTTGTTTTATTTGTTTGAACTTTGAGCATCAGGTTTAATAAAATTCAATTGATAAAACTTTTTCGATCAAGTACAAGGAGACGTCGTCACACCTTGGCCTCAATGGTTGTAGACAAATTGCAGATTCATGTATTGGTTACTAGTTACAAGTGCCTAGTCGTCAATTAGACTTTATAACAAAAGACGTCGTTTTCTAACGATTACAAGGGCGGAACCTCCCGTTGAAAATTTGCATATCGGCTAATAGAATAGAAATTGGCTTTTCATTTTGACTGTCGCCCAACTTTTAAACCGTTCGCCCTCCTCTGATGTTGAACAGTATCTGTTACTGTAGTTATATAGTTCGTTTATGTTTTACAATAATTAATTATTTCTTGCCATATTAGGTTGCATCATTAAGATTTTATCAAATTCATTGAAAATGTGCGACGTAACTGTTTTAAATTTATTATTTTTTATGAGCTGTTATTTAAAGTAGTATAATTAATAGTGCAGCTTTAATTAAAATATAANCCAATTTCTACCCATTATTATACTAAACATCTTTAATTACTAATTGTAATTTAGTAAATTAATTTCGTGTTAATTTTATGTTTTAGGACATGCTCATCCTGAAAACAGTATTATACATAGTCATAGGACTTTTAGTAGGAAATTTTTATTTACAAATGGGAAACGATGGTTCGAAAACGATATTCAACTTTGGTTTTTGTTTCACATGCATCATATTCTTTTTGTATATACCTATGATGCCGGTTTTGTTAAAATGTAATAAATTCGTCGTTTAGTAGATATTCACGACAATTTAATAATTTCTTTTTGCAGTCCCCACGCAATTACAGTTACTCAAACGAGAATATTTTAACAGATGGTACGGACTAACTGCGTACTTTTTGGCCTTAACAGTTTCAACCCTTTCCCTTCAATTGATCTTTGGATTCCTATACGTGCTTATAGTATATCCCCTTACTGCCCAACCATTGGAGTTTTTCCGAATTCTCATGTTTTTGACTGTCTGTACTCTAACAGGATTTATTTCGGAAAGCTTAGGGCTTCTCATATCATCCACCTTAAATGTGATAGTGAGTATCAATAAGTTCCTACAGGGGATGTTTTACTGGACATGCATTTTAATTGTTTACTTATGATATTATTCTGTTACCCTCATTTCTAATATTTAAGAAAGCAAATAACAACTTCAAGTTGACCGTGCTTTTTTTTCGTTTTAGAACGGAATGTTCGTAGGACCTTGTATATCTGCACCTTTAATACTTCTTTCTGTGTATGGCTTAGGACAGGGTACAAATATACCATTTCTAATAAGACTAGCTATGTACTTTAGCTATTTACGTTACGCTTTGGAAGGTCTAATTCTTGCTGTTTACGGCTATAACCGAGAAAAACTTCCTTGTCCTGAAGAGGAAATTTTTTGCCAGTACAGAGACGCGAAACCGTTCATGGCGATTATGGGAATGGAAAACGCCATGTTCTGGGTGGACATACTTGTCCTTTTATTTTTCTTTATTTTCTTTAGGGTAGTTAGTCTTTATTTATTGAGACAAAGATTGCGACCGAATAAGACGTTTGCAGCTTTGCAATTAGTTGGTAGAATTATAAAATCACACTTTAGTATGGCACGATAGTGCATATTAAATTTTATTTAATAACAAAATTTCTGTTGTAAGTTAATTTTCGTATTTGTAAGGTTTATTAATAAATAATTGCTGTCTTTGTAGTACATTTAACTTCGTTTGACTTCTCATTTACCACTCATTTAAGTAAAAAAGGAAAATCAGAATAATATTTGAGGACATTACGCTGAGGACGTATTTTTTGTTACTGTTGTTTTGGGTTTGGTATAATTTATGATTATGATATCAGTTTAAGTTCTTGGTTTATGATTATTTAGATATTAACGGCAATAATGGAGAAAATTCAACTTCCACTGAATAGTCAGAGTAAAGGAAATGAATAAATATTTAAATAGTTTTTAGTATATGTTAAACAAGAATACGAAGTCGGTTGAGTCCCTTCCTGAAAATGGTAAATGGACCCCCTTTGGACCAGTTGAATAGAAATTTGACAAATATCTCATATGATTTTAGATGGCATTCCATTAATTCGTTACATTAAAATAAAGTAATACATAATCTTTAATATTTTGATAAGGTTAAGATCTTATCGAAGAAACAGAGTTTATTATACGAAATAAAAAGTAGTATGCCATTTAATATCTCTGTTACAAATTATCAATAAGGTTAATTTTAACACTTACCATTGCCTTTATGGGCGAAATTGTTTTCTTCATAGGAGAACCTCCATGAAATATGCACAAAACGAGAAAACACACACTTCCACCTTAAAACATCAACATATACTGCGGGTAGTTATTCGGCGGTTGTTCATATCCACCGGAAAGCGAAGTACACACTATTCAAATGAAATACTTTTTTAAAAATTTTCGACTGTGATAAAGTAAATTTGGACAATTAGACAAGTAGTACGAACTGATATTTACATAAATTGATTTTAAATTGTTTTATAGATATCAAATTATAATATTTATCAAAGAAATTATTAATTAAATACCTATTCAAAAATTTGAGTAGTAATGAACTTGACCAGTTAATTACGAACCTTAAAACAACATGTAAACATAGGCCATAACCTCCTTTTTAAACGTCAGAATATTTTCAAGACATCCAGACATTAAAAAATAAAAGAAGATTCTTGCTTCTTCAAAATATTTGAATTTAAAATTAGTTATCATCACCGAATTATTGAAAATATCATTAAAATTCCAAATTTGAAAATTAATGTAGTTACTCTTATGTTCCCTGCTGTAAACGATCCCGTATAAACACACAAAGAGTTAAATATAATTTTTTTAGTGTCTGATACTTTTACATTTACATGGTGATAATAAAAATAAAATTTATTTTAATTATAATAAATAGATTATACTAGTTTCTTCAAATGTACTGGTTTTGAGATGATACTACTTCAGAAATATTTTCTGAGGAGTGTGGCTTCAGCAATTTGCTCTTCAAGTTTTCTAATTGGTTGTTCATAACCAGGTTTATCATGTGCAGCCAATCTTTCATAAACTTCATCATTTTGGTTAAAATCGCCATTGCTTCTTGGCATAACATGGCAATGCACTTGCTACAAGTTAAAAGGGACAGTTGAATTTGTTATTACATACATACAAGTGATAAAAACGAATACTTCTTATTCTTTTACGTTTTATAAAATACTAAAGATAAGAAAAAGCTTACTGGTATAGTTTGCCCAGCAGCTGGCCCATCTTGAACACAAATAGTTGATGATGATGCTTTATAAACAATTTCTAATACCTTCTGAACTTTTACAACTGTTAGGAAAAGGTCGCAAATTTCTTCTGGTGCTAAGTCAGGTAGTCTTTTAGCCGATCTCAATGATGCAACAAGTACATCTGCTATACTAAGGAAATATAACAAATGTATTAAAGTAAAGTAGTATCATTGAAGAAAAGTGACACACTATAGAAAGTAATTAGTCACATCACATTACACTTTGAACTCTTCAAAGGGCGAAAATAATTTTAATTAAATCTAATTGTAATGTTTTTAAAAAAATGTGTTTGTTTTCTGCTGTAATGGTAATTACATTAAGTAAATGCTTTTTCCATTCAATTGGAAATGATTTATTACAAAGGATACGTCCTGCTACAACACAACGAATGTTTGTAAAAGCAAAGCAATGCTTTGAACGGTAAAAAACTGTGGATGATGGAATTTTATGGGAATTAAACATATAAAATGGTATTGCATCTATTGAAGGTACTTCTTGCTTGCTTGTATCTACTAGTTGGTACATATCATCTCTCCTATTTTGAAATACAGGAATATCTTGTCGAATTTTATTAAGTTTAGTGTTGTCTAATGTTGCAATAGCTATACTTGCATTTGTAGGAGTATTCTCAGAATATTTGATACATTCTGCAAGAATTTGGCCCCAAGGATCGACAATCTAAAATTGGTTAATGTAAAAGTATAATTTGTTTTTCAAAAAGGGATTTGGGTTAAAAGTGCTATATGTAGTAATTATTTTTTCAACAGTTTTTACCATAGCTTGTCCATGAGATGTTCTTTTTGAATTGTGTTTTCCATATTGAGCTGCAGCTATAACATAGCATTGATTTTCAATTGCTCTGGCTCTCAATAAAACTTCCCAATGAGCTTGTCCAGTTCCACTGGTAAAAGCTGATGGGAAAGTTAAAACATTTGTACCCTTTTTACGTAAAAGAATACTCACTTCAGGAAATCTTAGATCATAACACTAATATATGTAAAACATAAGGAATATATGCCAAAATATTTTTTTAAATATTTCTAATTCAACAACAAAAAGGTTACAATCAATAAACCTAAAGGTCCTACAGGAGAATCAATTGGTGGTAAAATTTGATCACCACTGAAAACATCATTTGACTCCTTTAATTGTATATTTTTTTCTGGAATATCCACATCAAATAAATGCAGTTTTTTGTAAATTGCTTTTATAACTCCATTATTGTCAATAATAATGTGAGCATTGTATAATTTATCCTAAGAAATAACAGCATATTTGCGACAAAAACTGAACAGCAAATCACTATTACCTCTTCAGCAGAACCCTTTAAATGAAAACCCCCCACAGATAACCACATATCATTCCTTTTTGCTAAAGATTTGTATTTAGTCATAACTGGTCCATCAATACCTTCAGCTAAGGATTTGGTTTCATTTTTATTTGTACCAATGTAATCACAAGCTTCGGGTAAAAATACCATCTGAAATTATTAAATTATACAGCATCTAGGAATATTACTTACATTATGAAATACTTTAGCATTTTTAGCTGCAGCTTCTGTTACCAACTTATCTATAATGTCGTAATTTTCTTCTTTATTATTTGTTGCAGTCATTTGACAAACTGCAATAGTACACTTATCACCACTCGATGCCATTCTTAAATGTTTACGCTTATTGATTTTTAAATTATTTTTCAAAAGCTTGAGACAATTATTTCCTAACACTAAATTAAAACCTGAAACCATTACTTATTTAGTTACGCTTATTCTACACTTAAACATCAGGTAAAGGAGGTACTTATAATTTAATAGGTATGTAATAAAATTGTAGAATAATTATTGAAAATAAGAAATTATTTCATCCATAGCTTATTGTTTATCGATGTAAAAGTATATAAAATAAAGTGAGGTTATTTTCGTCAGTACATACCTGTCAAAATTTCGATATCAAGGGCATGGAGCTTTTTATGAAAGAGATTCAATATGGCTTCCNAATTTAAGCATTTTTGGAAAAGATTGAGCTGTGTTTATGAATTTTTATAAATACTGGCATACATGCAGCTACATATGTAGATCAAAGGTTTCACCTTTCAGTAGTACAAACATATTTTTCAAGATATTCAAATTTTAATTATACAGATCACATTCCAATATTTTGGGATGTTGTTAATGAGCTTGTTTCCGTAAACTTTTCTTAATTTCATAATGAATGCGCGTTAATATTGGGTACAATTATGTTATCTGGAATCAGGAATTGAAAATTACAGGAGCGTACTTAGCAGAATAGAATTTTTAAAGCTTTTTTCAGAACAATAGTAATAAAAAACAATTCAAATAAACAATCGTTAATTATTACTGTCAAACTCCTTTGTGTGCTATTATTTGTTTATTTTGATCATACTGTAATTATTGCAGAATTATAATACAAAATTATTAATATTTACGTATTATGTAAAATGTATATATTTGTGTGTAAAATTAATATTCTAATGTATCTAAAACGTGTTGTTTGTTTATCGATGTAAAAGTATATAAAATAAAGTGAGGTTATTTTCGTCAGTACATACCTGTCAAAATTTCGATATCAAGGGCATGGAGCTTTTTATGAAAGAGATTCAATATGGCTTCCTAATTCATTCATTAATAATACGTAATACGCATGTTCATTCATTTTTATTGTACTATGAGATAATCTAGTCTTTATTTAACAAACAAATATAGTGTTGGTTTTATCATTATGTTAGGTTTAATAAAAAAACAAATACTACAATTAAATTAAATAACTTATTTTTATAAGTCTTTATTATATTAAAAAAATAGTTACACTTACGTTTTAATATTTCTAAATGCTGTTGAAAAGATTTTACATTTTATTATTTAATGTAAACAAATCACAGACAAACTTTTTAAATTAATCGATATTTACATTTCTTAAAATCACATACTCAACTCAAAAATAAAGCATATAGGTATACGATATCTCTGAATTATTCAAGTATGCATTTTACAGTTTATAAACCGTGCTATCAAAATTGTTTCTGCCCATCTGAGAATCAATCCATTCAACAAAAAGGCCAACATTCGTATAAACTCCTGGAGTATTTTTGAGTCCGCATGTTAAACCCCACGAAACGATTCCCACTTGTTGGTATCTGTCGGTAGCACCTTTTGTTGCACAAATTAGGGGACCACCCCCATCCCCCTTGCAAGTGTCCTTGTTAGCATAGCCCCCAGCACATATAAAACTTTTGTGAAGATTAAAGTAAGGGCCCAGTCGGGCATTTCGTAATTTTTCGGTACATTCAATAGAATTGACTATTGGCAACTGAACTTTTTTTAAAGTCGATTGATAAGACCCTTTCTGAACAGAATTTTTACCCCATCCAGAGGCTATGCAGTTTTCTGGATCGTAATTGGTAACTGACTGGGGTAAACATATTATGCCCACGTTTTGTCCAATTTTAAAAGGTGTATCGGTGATTATTAAGGCGATATCATTTTTCAATGATCTGTTGTTGTATTGTGGATGAACTATGATCTGTAAAATAAAAGAGTACATCAGAATCTTATGTCGTCAAACTCTATTTTAGAATAAATTAATTGTTTATTACTTTGGAAATTAGCGGTACATGCATATTTGCTTTATAATAATCAAATTTGAAATGCAGTTTTGTTCTCATTTTTTCCCCAAAAGCAGTTGTGTGAAGTTTTTTATTTATGTGAAATCAATAAATTACGTTTCGCACTCAAATATGAGGCAGCATCAGGGCTCAAATAGGACAGATGTTAAACTAGTTTTAAAATGTAACAAGTACTTTACTTAAGTAAAGGTGAAGATAAAACAATAAGTATTATACACGACGGACACAGTAATGTTAGAGATAAATTACAATTAAATATATCGGTAATATAAGGTGATATAAGAAAATAAGGAAAATCTAGGTAAATTTGTGTTTGCTACATGTTAATTTTAAATAGGCAGTTAAAGAACGAACAGTGTCTCCTCCTTTTAAAGAAAGTTGACTAAATATTCTATTGGTTTTTAAATTTATTCTCAAGATGGGGAAAAAGTATTGCTTACCTTTGCGCTCCACCGGTCTTGATGTGGTAAGGGTTCAGATTGACTTTCCCAATTCCATTCTCCAGCGCGAATTTTGTACTTTTTGTTGGGGGAAACACAATGGGCTGCGGTCAATGCCACTTGGGGATGAATTAAGGATGCTCCACACCGGTAAACCCTCTGCTCCAGGATTCCCAGCATCCATGGGAATTCTCCAAATTCAGCATCGTTGTTGTCGCCCAAAATTCGAAAATCTAGACGTTTATTTTGTTTGCGTATAGAGCGAAATCTAAGGTCGCGATTGCTACGTCCGCATTCCAGCTTACAACAAACGTCGAAATCACCTGAACAAGATGTTCCATTTTCGGGACTTTCTTTCAAAAATCTAAAAAGAAAATGTCGTAATATGTGCTTTGTAGATTAACTTTACAATCCAAATGTGTTAATTTGAGTAAAAAGTGGTTTTGTTCTTACCTTACGTCTATTAAATCGGCTTCATCATCCAATAAACCACTGAAATCATCTTTGCACTGCCAGTACGGAACACATAAGCAAGCTTGTGAATTTTCAGTCGATGGTAAAGAACTAAGTTCGTCAATAATATTTTCCGCTAAGTATAAAGGTTCTTGAGCAAGGACATCAAGAATAAAGAAAAGTGATAACAGTATAACTTTCGAAAACATCTATAACAGAAAAAAGTCTTTCTTTATGAATTTTCTGCAGATTTTATAAATTTTTATTGAATTTATTTCACTCAGTTTGCTCTACCTTCTAAGCCAGTTGTTGCAATAATGATTATATTGAGATTAATAGATCTTTACCTAACCAATTGAATGTTTTGGAAAAACCATCTATTCTTAGAGCAAACATGATGAGGTGGTTTGACCAAGACAGGTTGTTATGTTTAGATAATTACCTATCTTTATGAAGGGGTGGATCTGAATTTACCTGATAATATTATTCAGCGATTTCAATAATAAATTATTTATGTGGTATTCAAACGCACTGCCGTTTGATAAATTTATTATATTTAAACAATGTGTATAAGTATAATTATTATACTGTATGTTTTTTTGTTTTATTACCTACTTATTAAAAATCCTTCACCAACTGATTTAGTCAAAATTCAATTACGTTTAGATATATATATTTTTTCTTATATAAGTATTATTAATGTTGCTTTTATAACTCCATTATTGTCAATAATAATAATAATTTTGGGAATTACAATGTTACACAAAAGGAAAAGTTTTTTGTTAAAGCATTAATGAACCAGATAAAAAAGTTGTAATAAAAACGTTTTTGTTGTATTATCTATAAATAATAATTTAATTTAAGCATTTTTGGAAAAGATTGAGCTGTGTTTATGAATTTTTATAAATACTGGCATACATGCAGCTACATATGTAGATCAAAGGTTTCACCTTTCAGTAGTACAAACATATTTTTCAAGATATTCAAATTTTAATTATACAGATCACATTCCAATATTTTGGGATGTTGTTAATGAGCTTGTTTCCGTAAACTTTTCTTAATTTCATAATGAATGCGCGTTAATATTGGGTACAATTATGTTATCTGGAATCAGGAATTGAAAATTACAGGAGCGTACTTAGCAGAATAGAATTTTTAAAGCTTTTTTCAGAACAATAGTAATAAAAAACAATTCAAATAAACAATCGTTAATTATTACTGTCAAACTCCTTTGTGTGCTATTATTTGTTTATTTTGATCATACTGTAATTATTGCAGAATTATAATACAAAATTATTAATATTTACGTATTATGTAAAATGTATATATTTGTGTGTAAAATTAATATTCTAATGTATCTAAAACGTGTTGTTTATCACAAACACACATTCATGTCCGTAAATAGGTCTTTTTTTCAATAAAATTGTCCCTTTTTTCGTATTTTTTTACGTGTTTCTTACTGTTAATTCACATAGATAATTTTTACCTTTGCAAAGATTTATGTAGTTTTCAGAGAATTACAATTTTTAAAAAAATGTAAAATTACATTTTCATTAATCGTAACTTCTTGTTTTAATGCATTTTTCTATAATAAGACAATCTTTGGAATTATTTGTATTCTTAGTAAAAGTTATTATTTGCCGTGAGGGTATCGTATTTACTCCCACGAGGGTAGAAATACCCATAAACATTAATTGCTGGAAATCCAAAAATTCCCATTTCGTCTTGATAATCAAATACCTACCGAAAGAGAGGTGGTAATACTTCCGAAAAGTATAAATAACCGGAAGGGTGGTTTTGACGTCATTCGTGAACCGTTTTTGTGTTAGTGTGTTTTTCTCTTAATTGCATTATTATTTCATATATTATACTTATTTCTACCATGGTAAGTTTATTTCAAATTTAAAAAGTGTTTTTTGTTTATATAATTTGTTTATTTTCAGATTTTTAGAGTATGTATATTTTTATACTTATTCCCTTTTCTCGTTCTAACTTCTGTAATTGATTATAAATCAAATTGCACTTGTGTTCCTTATTATCAATGCTCTGAAGAGACAGGTGGTGTGATAACGAATGGTGCTGGATTGTTTGATACCAGGTTTGTTAATATTAATAATATAATAATAAGTTCTAAAATTATATTAAATAAAAAATTGTTTTAGATTGTTTCGAAACGCTCACTGTACTGGTTACTTTGACGTTTGCTGTAATACAACTCTTACAATTGATAATGATCCTCCTGAAAAAGAAGAAAAGCCAAGAGGATGCGGCTATCATGTACCGGGTGTTTTTCCATGGTCTGTTATTTTACGTATACAAAAGGACAGTACAAAGCCATTTCAACACAAATGCGGGGCTTCTTTAATTCACTCACAAGTTGCTATAACTGCAGCGCATTGTACAGATGATGTTACTGCAAGATACGAAGTTAAAATTGGTTGGTCTTTTTTAAGTCGACAAAATTATACTTAATTTAATTTATTATTTTATTTTATAGGTAAACAAGCTACAGTGGTTACCAAGATAATACGCCATCCAAAATTCAACATAAATACTCTGCAAAACGACGTAGCTCTCTTAGTACTAAAAAATCCACTCAAAATTTCGGAAGAAGTTTCTTTGATATGTATCCCACCTCCGCGGTTTTCAATAGAGCATAATCAGTGCATTACAAGTTCGTGGAATAACACGGATGACAGCAAGGTTGATCCGGTGCCAAGATTAATAAAATTGCCCGTTATTTCGAAAAAGAATTGTGAAAATACACTGAGGGCTACTAGGCTGGGTACGTTTTTCCAACTACACAAAACTTTTGTTTGTGCTGGAGGCGAAGCTGAAAAAGATACTTGCAATGGCGATGGAGGGAATCCTCTGATTTGTCCTATTTCCGGTGAAAGAGGACGGTACCATCAAGTTGGAATTGTCTCCTGGGGCATTGGATGCGGAGAATTCAATATGCCTGGTGTTTATGTAAGATTAAGCATTTTTAGGGATTGGATCGACAAAGTTATGTTGAAAAATGGTTTTGATATCAATGGATATAGATATTAATTTACATAAAACGTACCTCTGTATAACTGTTATATGTTATAAGTGCCTACCTAATAAACCGATGCAATGTGCCAGTGGGTTTTTATAAAAGTGTTTGTGTCTAAACCAATGTACCTAGTATTACGTGTTCACAGCTCTTAGTATTAATTTATAATAATTAAAATTATTGTATTTTATTTACCTTCGGCTTCTGCCTAAAATAAATTAAACTTGCATTAGATAATTAATTATTGTACAGTTTTTAAAAGGGAGCCGTATAATTACGAATTTGTCAGTTACACTTAAATTTTATAATAGCCAGTATCACATCACGTCATTTTAAATTTTCTTCTTATTTAATTTTTGCTGCGTTACTATCTTATTTATTTAATA